ACTATGGACAGAAGTCCGCAACATTGTTCAGGAGGCGGCAACAAAGTACGTTCCAAAGAAAAAGAAAAACAAGAAGGCAAAATGGTTGTCTGCTGAGACACTGGAAGTAGCCCAAGAAAGGAGGAAAGCAAAAGGAAACAGTGAAAAAGGGAGATATGCCCAGTTAAATGCGCAATTCCAGAGGTTAGCCAGAAGAGATAAGGAACTATTTTTAAATAAGCAATGCATGGAAGTGAGGAAGACAACAGAATAGGAAGGACAAGAGACCTCTTCCAGAAAATTAGAAACATTGGAGGTAAATTTCAGGCAAAAATTGGTATGATAAGAAACAAAGATGGCAGGGACCTAACAGAAGCTGAAGAGATCAAGAGAAGGTGGCGAGACTATACAGAAGATCTGTATAGGAAGGATAATAATATTGAGGATAGTTCTGACGGTGTGGTGAATGAATTAGAACCAGACATCCTGAGGAGCGAGGTTGAATGGGCCTTAAGAAGCATTGCTAACAACAAGGCAGCAGGAGATGACGGGATCCCAGCTGAACTGTTTAAAATCTTAAAAGATGATGCTGTCAAGGTGATGCATGCAATATGCCAGCAAATATGGAAAACACAAGAATGGCCATCAGACTGGAAAAAATCAACTTATATCCCCATACCAAAAAAGGGAAATGCGAAAGACTGCTCAAACTTCCGTACAGTGGCCCTTATTTCTCATGCCAGTAAGGTAATGCTCAAGATCCTGCAAGGAAGACTCCAGCAATACATGGAGCGAGAGTTGCCAGATGTTCAAGCTGGGTTTAGAAAAGGCAGAGGAACGAGCGACCAGATTGCCAATATCCGCTGGATAATGGAGAAAGGCAGGGAGTTTCAGAAAAACATCTACTTCTGCTTCATTGACTATTCTAAAGCCTTTGACTGTGTGGATCATAATAAATTGTGGCAAGTTCTTGGTGGGATGGGCATCCCAAGCCACCTTGTCTCTCTCTGAGGAATCTGTACAAGGACCAAGTCGCAACAGTAAGAACTGACCACGGAACAACAGACTGGTTCAAGATTGGGAAAGGCGTACGGCAAGGCTGCATACTCTCACCCAACCTTTTCAACTTGTATGCAGAACACATCATGCGATGTGCGGGGCTTGATGAATGCAAAGCTGGGGTGAAAATTGCTGGAAGAAACATTAACAACCTCAGATATGCAGATGACACCACTCTGATGGCCGAAAGCGAGGAGGAGCTGAGGAGCCTTATAATCAAGGTGAAAGAAGAAAGCGCAAAAGCCGGGTTGCAGCTAAACGTCAAAAAAACCAAGATTATGGCAACAAGAATGATTGACAACTGGAAAATAGAGGGAGAAACCGTGGAGGCCGTGACAGACTTTGTATTTCTAGGTGCAAAGATTACTGCAGATGCAGACTGTAGCCAGGAAATCAGAAGAAGCTTACTTCTTGGGAGGAGAGCAATGTCCAATCTCGATAAAATAGTGAAGAGTAGAGACATCAGACTGGCAACAAAGATCCGCCTAGTCAAAGCAATGGTATTCCCTGTAGTCACCTACGGATGTGAGAGCTGGACCTTAGGGAAGGCTGAGCGAAGGAAGATCGATGCTTTTGAGCTGTGGTGTTGGAGGAAAGTGCTGAGAGTGCCTTGGACTGCGAGAAGATCCAACCAGTCCATCCTCCAGGAAATAAAGGCCGACTGCTCATTGGAGGGAAGGATACTAGAGACAAAGTTGAAGTACTTTGGCCACATCATGAGGAGACAGCAAAGCCTAGAGAAGACAATTATGCTGGGGAAAGTGGAAGGCAAAAGGAAGAGGGGCCGACCAAGGGCAAGATGGATGGATGGCATCCTTGAAGTGACTGGACTGACCTTGAGGGAGCTGGGGGTGGTAACGGCCGACAGGGAACTCTGGCGTAGGCTGGTCCATGAGGTCACGAAGAGTCGGAGACGACTGAACGAATGAACAACAACAAATAATAATAATAATAATGATAATAATAGTATCTGCAGCATGGGCCAGATTATAATTTTAAAAAAAACCATAAATGAATTCCTATGCACACTGCACATATCTTGTTTGTAGTGCAAAATACACTTAAAACCAATACAATAATTAAAATGAAGAACAATTTATCAAATATAAACTTGTTAGTATTTCAATGGGAAGTGTGGGCCTGCTTTTGGCTAATGAGATAGGATTGTTGTTGTTGTTGTGTGCTTTCAAGTCGTTTCAGACTTAGGTTGACTCTGAGCGAGGGCTGAATAAATGACCTTGGAGGGCTGTATTTGGCCCCCGGGCCTTAGTTTGAGGACCCCTGATTTAAATATTCTATTCCCAAAACCATCATTGAATTTGTTTAATACACAGAGACACAACTCATTTTCCTTACATTACAGGAATGTCTCATCATGGGGCAATTGTTCTGGGTTGGAGTAAAATGACTCTAGGAAAGTCCATCAGACCTCCTTGCTTTTAATTGTCATGTGACAGAAATTTAAAGTGTGAACAAATCAAACTATAATTAAAAGTGTTTATCTGAACATTTGTTGATTAGAATAGATCGCCTGCTTCACAATCACTGTTTCAAGTATTGCCAATTACTGCTTTTTAGATTTACAATTATGTTTACATCACCTATAAGAGTAAAACATGACAGCCGGCATGGCAAAGTTGGACTAGATCTCTGGGTTCAAATGCTTGCTCTGCCATGGAAATCCATTGGGTGGCTTTGGGTAGACCACATTCTCTCAGCTTCAGAGGAAGGCAATGGCAAACCTTATCTGAAGACATCTTGCCATGAAAAGGGTTTCTAAATGACTTGAAGGCACACAAAATTAAGGGACAGTACCATTGTATAGGGATGTCATTTTAGAATGACGACACAGAAGACTATAACCCACTGAGACAGTATCTATAAACCAGCTGTGAAATTCTGAAATATGAAATGTCTGATCAGAGATGGGGAACCTCCAGTCCTTCAGATAATGCTGAATTAAAAATCCCATTATAGCCAACCATCAGCCATACCTTAATACTCCTCCACACAAAGAAGCCCTAAACCATCCGTTTCAGGAGTGACCTATAACCCTATTCCCATTTTTTAAAAACAACTGCAAAGTTAATTTCCAATCCCAGTGTCAATGGTTTGAGATCTTGATAATGAGAAAGCATCATTAGGCATATCTTAAATGTTTTGAGGTTTTTTTTTTTAAAAAAAGACCAGAATTACTATATAGCAGGAATGGGCAAACTTGGGCCCTCCTGGTGTTTTGGACTTCAACTCCCACAATTCCTAACAGCTGGAATCGTGAGAGTTGAAGTCCAAAACACCTGGAGGGCCCAAGTTTGCCCAAGCCTGCTATATACACTCTCAGTATCTCAAACAAATCTTTCCTATCATTTCAAAAACGCATACTTATGGCCTACAGCTAAAAGAAAGGAGAGGATCTGTTTATTTAAGGGGTTATAATATGGGGTGTGAAGAGTGTGAAGTTTGCAATGCTGCTCTAACAATATCTCAGTGCAAACCTTCAATCACCTGTCAACTTTAATTGTTATTTAATAATAATAATGTTTCAGTTGTTACCAACCTCTCCTCACAGCTTGATGGAGCGGGGAAAACACTTTTAAAATACATAGATAAAAAGGGTCTATATAGAACCACGTATATTAAATAAAACATAGAACAAATATTAACACACCAACGCTAAGAAAATGTAAATTCAGAATCCAAAGCTTAAAACGGACTGGGAAGATTCATAGGAGTAGGTTCTAGTGGGTTTTTTCGGGCTATATGGCCATGTTCTACAGGCATTTTCTCCTGACGTTTCACCTGCATCTATGGCAAGCATCCTCAGAGGTAGTGAGGTTTGTTGGAACTAGGAAAATGGGTTTATATATCTGTGGAATGGCTGGGGTGGGGCAAAGAGCTCTTCTCTGCTGGAGATAGGTGTTAATGTTTCAACTGACCACCTTCATTAGCATTTGAAGGCCTGGCTGAGCCTGGGGGAATCTTTTGTGGTTTGTTCTTGGTCTTGCAGCTCTTCTGATGTCTGAGGTGGAGTATCCATTGGCCTGTAGAGCTCAGTTTAGATGAAGATCCAGAAGTCAGCCATAGCAGAACACCTGATGAACCAGCCTGGACACAGCATATTATTTGAGAACACAGAAATGCTGGACCACTATCACAACCACCATGTCAGGCTACACAGAGAAGCCATTGATATCCACAAACATGTGGACAATTTCAACAGAAAGGAGGAGACCATGAAAATGAACAAAATCTGGCTACCAGTATTAAAAAACTCAAAAATTACAAGAGCAAAACAGCAGAGAGGAAACAACCAGGCACATCTTAACACCTCTCAACAGGGGATTGTCCCAGGCTCAGCCAGGCCTTCAAATGCTAATGAAGGTGGTCAGTTGAAACATTCACACCTAGCTCCAGCAGAGAAGAGCTCTTTGCCCCACCCCAGCCATTCCACAGATATATAAACCCATTTTCCTAATTCCCACAGACCTCACTACCTCTGAGGATGCTTGCCATAGATGCAGGCGAAACGTCAGGAGAAAATGCCTCTAGAACATGGCCATGTAGCCCGAAAAAACCCACAAGAACCTAGTGATTCCAGCCATGAAAACCTTCGACAATACATTATTCATAGGAGTTTTTGCCCTTTTCTCCCTGTGAAAGGTGCCCCTCTACATCATCTGTTATTGATTAGTAGTGGTGTCCCATCCAAGAACTAACCAGGGCCGACCCTGCTTAGCTTCCAAGAGCAGACAGCCCCTCTAGGCAGGAAAGGGAAGAGAAACGAGGGGAGTCAATGGGGAAAGAAAAGGGGAGGGGTGAGCGAAGAGGGAGGTAGCTGCTCCAATAGGGAAGGAAGCCCCCTCTTCTGGAAGGCCCCAAAGGAGGAAGAGGCGGCCGGGCAAGGAGAGCAGCCCTCCCAGGACCCTCCCTCGCCCAAAAAGGGATGGAGGGCTTGCCAGTACCTGGCTCTGAAGAGGCGGAGAGGGAGAGGGAGTGAGGAGGAAAGGCGAGGAAGGCCGGCCGGCTCTTGCCGCTCTATCGCCGCCGCTTCACTGCAAGCGCCCAAAATGGCGGCGGCGAACCCAGAGCGCATCGAACTGCCTTCGACAGCGGAGGCGACGTCATCTATGACCTCGGTGCTTGATTAATGTTGCCTGAGCGGTGAACTTGACTCTCTGACCTGGCCTTTCCTGGCTGTCAATCTCCGAGCGAATCCCCGCCCCCTTCAGCTACGTCACTTCTTAGAACTCAATTGAAAGTGTCCTCGCTGCCCCGCGGTAACGTTGATTGGCTCAGAGGCCATGGAAAGAGCATCGTAGCCTTACAGAAAACACACCTGGGACTAGGATCCATTACACTATGTATCAAAATGTGATTTTTTTTCCTGTTCCTGGTTTGAAAGTGTTGTTTCCTGTTTAATTGTGCGGTATTTATTTTGAAAGTTATTGTTATACTCCAGATAGTTTTTGCGCCTGCCACAAACTATGTTGAATTGGTTGAGACTGGATGAGAAATTAATTGAAAAACTATCGCAGATGTTTTGCAAAAGCAGTAAACCTTTCCCATGTTTTTATGATAGAAACAATTAGAAAATGACATATATAGCCCAGGAACAAAAACTTTTACAAAGGGCCTTTCCAGACAGGCCCTAATATAATATCTATATAAATAAAAATGCAATGTTCGTTTGTGGGATTAACATAACTCAAAAACCACTGGGAGAATTGACACCAAATTTGGACACAATACACCTATCAGACGATCACTCATAAAAGCACTGAAAAAAATCAGCAGAAGAGACCTAAAAAACCAAAAATAATAAAAAACATTACAATGCATGCACACAACCACATACATACACATACATGCAAATATATACACACACATATATACACATATATATACACACACAAAACAAAATACACAGACTGAGCCATAGCAACGCGTGGCAGAGGACGGCTAGTAATGTAATATAATATATTGTATATACATATAATATTTATAATATTATAATGTAATACAATATAATACTAATAATAATGTGATATTATAATTATATATTTTATGTAATATTACTAATACTATTACAATATAATGGTATAGTACAATGTGGTAGTATATAATACTGATATTGTACTATGCTAATAATATATTGTGTGTGTATATATATATATATATATATGTCTTGTAAGCAGCTCCGAGTCCCCTTTGGGGTGAGAAAACTGGCATATAAATGTCGTAAATAAATATCCCAGGATCTGGAGCCCCCTGTGGCACAGTGGGTTAAAGCCCTGTGCCAGCAGGACTGGTTGCAGGTTCAAATCCGGGGAGAGCGCGGATGAGCTCCAGCTCCTCATGCGGGGACATGAGAGAAGACTCCTAAAAGAATAGTAAAATATCAAAACCCGGGCGTCTCCTGGGCAACGTTGTTATTTGCTCAGTAGCTTCTGATTATTTGTGACCTCATGGACCAGCAAACTCCAGAGCTCTCTGTCGGCCGTCACAACTCCCAGCTCCTTCAAATTCAAGCCAGTCACTTCAAGGATAACATCCATCCGTCTTGCCCTTGGTCGGCCCCTCTTCCTTTTTCCTTCCATTTTTGCCAGCATAATTGTCTTCTCCAGACTTTCCTGTCTTCTCATTATGTGGCCAAAGTACTTCTTCTTTGCCTCTAATCTCTTTCCCTCCAGTGAGCAATTGGCCTTTATTTCCTGGAGTATGGACTGGTTGGATCTTCTTGCGGTCCAAGGCACTCCCAGAATTTTCCTCCAACACCACAGTTCAAAAGCGTCTATCTTCCTTCGCTCAGTCTTTCCTATGGTCCAGCTGTCACATCCGTAGGCTACTACAGGGAATACCATTTCTTTAACTATGCGGATCTTTGTTACCAGTGTGATGTCTCTACTCTTCACTATTTTATTGAGATTGGCCATTGCTCTTCTCCCAAGAAGTAAACGTCTTCTGATTTCCTGGCTGCAGTCTGTGTCTGCAGTAACCTTTGCACCTAGAAATACAAAGTCTGTCACTGCCTCCACGTTTTCTCCCTCTATTTGCCACGTATCAATTACTCTTGTTGCCATAATCTTGGTTTTTTTTTAATGTTTTGATGTCCTTGCAGACGGTCAATTCTCTCACACCAGAAGCAACTAACAGTTTTTCAAGTTGCTCCTGACACAAAAAAAATATCCCAGGTTTTCTGTTTATCCCATATTATCTGGCAGTGCAGACTCATATAGTCCAGTTTAAGCAGAGAACTTGGGCTCATATTCTGAGATATAGGGCCTGTCAGGAAGGGCCCATAATGTTGTTTTAGGGTTTTGGTGCCTTAGAAGAATGCCAATTATATATATACACACACACATAACAGGGCAGGTCTATGTCAAATGAAACACACGAGACTCTCAGTTAACCGGAACTCTTGGGCCACTTGCAAAACATAACAACAATTGCATCTTGCATTTACAAAATTGTTAGGTTAGTCTTTCTTTGCTTTTAATTAATTTCAATATGCATATCAAGTCAAAATAGACTTTTACTCTGAAACAAAATTTGAAAAAAGTTGCAGGAAGTCCCGCAAAAAACAAAGTTTTGCAGTTTAATACACCTTTTCCATGTTTTTATGATAGAACCAATTAGCAAATGACATTTATAACCCAGGAACAAAAATGTTACACTGTGTTATACGATATAGTATGGGATATACCATATAGTATTACTTAGGCCTATTCTTAATAGTAATTATCAAGCAACCAGAAGCTAATATTTATCCAGCATCTAGCAATCCTCATGGGTCCTGGTTAACTGAAAATCTAGTTTATTTCTCTTTTCTTGCTAGACACCATTGAATCTTTTGCAAACTTAATGGAGACTTATCGAGCCCTGTCAAACTTCTAATTTGAACAATATATTGATATGAAAGATAATGGACACTGGCGCAGAGTCACCAGACCCACTCGATCAGGGCTCATTAAACCCATCACCAAGACAATAACCCTCATGGGACCTGATGGCCCCTCTTTGTTGGGACAATGTAATCTTTTCATACAACTATGTCTCCTTTGTCTCCAGGATCATCCTGCTCCACATCAGCCATTGGAGAGTAGAAATGTGCATCAGAATTGGGGGGATGCTTTCTGATTGGCTGTCAGGCAGCACAGTCCCGCCTCTCAAGGAGAATCCTCCCAGCTGACTGTGATGTCAATCCGGCTATGCAAATCATGGCAAAGCCAGCTCCAGATGGAGTGTGAGTGGGAAATACAAAGGATTTGAATATATAAAATGTCTGTTTTTGCCTGTGTGAAGTATCTCAGCTTCCTTTAGTGGCTTACCATGAGCTGTCATCCTTTCTAGCTGGATCAAAATTAAATTACCTTGGTGGCTTCATCTTCAACTGGTGAGATTTCTTGATTAGGGAAAATTGGGTTTAGCTTCTTTGGGTATTGCTATCCACAGCCCGGATTTCACTATCCGAGGCTGCTTTAAATTGCTCAGACTTGTTTGTAGTTTGCTGAGGCACCAGCACTCTTTGGCTAAAAACTTTGTAAAGCTACAACCTCCATGATTCCATAGCATTGAGCCATGGCAGTTAAAGTGGTATCATACTGCATTATTTCTACAGTGCCAATGCACCCTATGCCAATGGGACTTTGTTATCCATGTGAGATCTTGGAACCAAACTCCAGCGGATACTAAGGGCCTACTGTATTGTTTGATGGCAACGTTTTTTTATGGTGACAGAAGTGACTTGAAAAAGTCCAAGTCACTTCTGGTGCAAGAGAATTCGCTGTCTGCAAGAACATTGCCAAGGGGATGCCTGGATATATTACCATCCTGTGCGAGGTTTCTTTCAGGTCCCCACATGGGAAGCTGAGGCTGACAGATGGGAGTTCTTCCAGCCTCGCAGATTTGAATTGCCGATCTTCAGGTCTTCAGATCAGCAGTTCAGCTGTCACAAGGGTTTAACCCATTGCACCACCGTGGCTCATCTTGATGGCAACTGAAATACTATGAAAAGGCCACTAGATTTGCTTTTACATATAGAATACCTCCAATTATTTCTAAGCAGTTTTCAGCTAAAAAAAATTACACTAGTTTGTGATGGTCATGGTTTCTTCCAGGTTTTAAAGAATTCTTATTCTTTGCTAAGTCTTCAGCTGATGTCATTTTCACATCTGAGCAATTTCTTCTTGCTGAACTAGTTAATATTCAGGGTCAAGGCATTCTATTCACCTTGCCTTATGCTGGAGAAAATGGTTTTTACAGCTGGGAATTAAGTAAATCAAAACTGCACTCAGAAGCAATATATTGTATTTATGACTAAACAAGCAGAAAGCAGAATTAATTTCTGCTTATGCTGTAATAAATACAGTGCTTGGACCTAACCAGAACAAACATGGGAATAAAAAAAAAAAGCTTTCATACACTTTGTAGTGTTTTTTTTTTCAAGGCAGAGAAAACTTGCTGTACAAAAACCTTCCATTTTTTAAAGTTTTTGGCTTTTATTTATGTTATCATATGCGTCACACATTCACAGTGTTACAAACTTGCACCTAGTCCTCCAAATAATAATAATTCCAAAACCAGTAGTGTCTGTATGCTACAGTGTATAGCCAGTCTTTATTGAGTCAATGTTCAGTAATGTATTAGACTGAAGAAAGTGTTAGTCTATATGCAACGGAGGAGAGACTGGAATAGAATGCTTTAGAGAACAAATTGTTTAAATTATCAACCAATAAGAAATGTACCTGTGTGCTGAATACATGAAGTTTGTAAGTAAATCAACTATGTTATTTTTAAAAAATACTACTTCTTTTTGGTCTCTTGAGAGCATGATTTAAAAACCAATATATGTTGTGGGAGAGCATATGTTTTTTGGGCAACTGACATAACAATTCTGGAGATCTGCTATATATTTTGTGCATTGGCATATCTTTATCCTAACAGTTCAGCGAGATAACCAGGTATATCAGTCTAACAACTGAGAAGCCTAATTTGCCTTGCATGAATACTAGTGGATATTACCACTTAGGAGAAGATTCACTCAAATGACTATTTAACTCTTCTTAGGAAGATCATACTTTCAAAAGATTATGAT